GCTCCTTTGCTGGAGGCCAAAGCGGCCAAGATCCCGGCGCGCCGCGAGAGCGGCCGCCCCATCAAGCCGCCCCGCAAGGACCTGCCCGACTCGCAGCAGCACCAGACCTCCAAGAAGGGCAAGCTCTCGGAGCAGCTCAAGTACTGCAACGGCATCCTCAAGGAGCTGCTCTCCAAGAAGCACGCCGCCTACGCCTGGCCCTTCTACAAGCCCGTCGACGCCTCCGCGCTGGGGCTGCACGACTACCACGAGATCATCAAGCACCCCATGGACCTCAGCACCATCAAGGTACCCCGGGCCCCCTTGGGCTCCCCTTGGGGGGGTAGGACACCCCCCGCGTTGTCGCTCACGCCGTTTCTCTCCCGGCCGCAGCGGAAGATGGAGAACCGGGACTACCACGACGCGCAGGAGTTCGCCGCCGACGTGCGGTTAATGTTCTCCAACTGCTACAAGTACAACCCGCCCGACCACGACGTGGTGGCCATGGCCCGCAAGCTGCAGGTGAGGCCCCCAGTGCCACCTCCACCCTCTCACTCCCGTTTTTGACTCTTCTCCCCTCTTTTCTGGCCCTTTTTGACACTTATGCCCTCCTTTTGGGCCCTGTTCAAGTTCAGCTCAGCCCTTTTTTGATGCCTCTGCCCTCTTTTCAGGCCCTTTTTGCTGCCTCCTCCTTTCTTTTGGGGTGTGTTTGAGTTCAGCTCAGTTGTTTTGACACCTCTTTTTTTTCGGGGTGTTTCTGACACCTTTTCAGGGTATTTTTGACTTTGGCTTGGCCCTTTTTGGCGCCTCTTCCCCTCCCTTTTTGGCCCTTTTTGGCACCTCTTCCCTTCCCTTTTTGGCGCCTCTTCCCTTCCCTTTTTGGCCCTTTTTGGTGCCTCTTTCCTGCTTTTCAGGGTGTGCTCGACTTCAGCTCGGCCCTTTTTGCCGCCTCTGCCTCTTTTGGGGATGTTTTTGACACCTTTTTATTTTCGGGATATGTTCAAGTTCAGCTCCGCCCTTTTTTGACGCCTCTGCTCTCCTTTCCGTCCATGTTCGACTTTGTCTTGGCCATTTTTGACTTTTTACTCTCTTTTCTGGCCATTTTTGACACCTCTCCTTTCTGGGTGTGT